GGTAAACACTGAAAGTATCTTCGAATACTTAACAAGTGCCAAGGTAGATGTCTAAGACTAATGTGCTTTTAAAAACCTAGGTCAGTATAGAAACTCTTCAGAGGTTTCATAGATAGAGACAGAAGAATCAACGCAGAGCCTTGCACAGTTTTATATGTTATACATCATAGTACGGCAGTGGTTTTCAGACGTTGAAAACGTTTGAAGGCCATTGCTGTAGCGCTCAAACACTGAGGCATTTGTCAAATGACTTCCATAATTATGCAGTCTTAAACACCACGAGTGACACTATTTAACAACTGCTCAACCGCTTGTCTATAAAATGCTTCCATGTTATACAGTTTTAGCACTTTTTGACAAACTTTCGAGCGTTACGGCAATGACCTTAAGCTGTTGTCAATGCCTTGGAACCTTTTACTACCAAAAGTGAAGAAAAAAGAGAATAATCACATGAAAGTTGGTAAAATGATAAATATTTAGAGGACTATAAAGAGTCCATGCACCTACAACCATATTAACGAAAATCTCTCAACATCTCAAGGACCTGAACCAGATAGCGATTATACCATCACTATATTACGACTCGGACCAACGGTCGGAGACTTCTTGAAAGTGGATACTACATGCACGTCTTACAACTTAATCCTGCTTTATCTAACGTAATTCAACAAAAACAGTGATTCGGGATTCATAATATATGGAGTGAAGAACAAATTATACTACAGTAAATAAATACAACTCTACTGCAACTCTTTACGAACAAAAGAAATATATATATATATATATATATATATATATATATATATATATATATATATATATATATATATATATATATAGTCTTGAGGGTAATTAACAGATTTTAAGGTACGCAATTAGGAAGTCAAAACTGAATCTTAACGGTATTCACTGAGTTCGAACAAGTTAAAAACTACGTAGTAATATTGATGGTATGGTAAAAGCTGTCACAGTACTACTTCTATCCAGTGTGGTAACACTAACTTATGCAAAACAGATTTTACCTTCCACACGGTTACGACCCTTTTCTGTTACCATATAATCTACCCCTGAAAGTGACAACACATTGTAATAACCACTTTGGAGAAGAATCAACTTCCACTCATCGACCATGAGCACGCTCATGACACCAGTTGGCTGTCCAAACCTCGGTAGGTGGAGAGAGGTATGAACCCGTGATCCCTTTGTTGAAAGTCAATTGCTTAAACCAATGAGACAGTTTCATAATCATCCATGTAATTTTGAAACATTAGAAAAGTTTATTGGAGGAATGTAAGACTAAAAGTATGGATAATTTAGTCGACAGTGGCAATCTGATGACCAATTAATAATACTAGTTGCATAGGAACCCATGCTAAGTGAAAGAAATGTAACTGAAGTGTAGTTCCCATCGTCCTCCAGAATATAAAGGGGGGAAAATGAACGATACCATTCGTTGTCAAAAAATCACCTGGTACTCTTTGTCATCAGAAAGCTAACGAGTCAAGAGAGCTTTAGAAGCTACGTTGGTTAATCAAAGTGGGTTAACCAATAGTTTTTACACACAAAAAAACGCTTGAAAACACACTGACCTCCCACTCTTAAGGGCAGTATCAGTTATCAACACTATAATCGCGTCCACTTCCTAAAAAAACAAACAATAAAACCAGTGACTATAACCGACTCATGATTTTTTTCTTTATGTCTGTACTTTTGCTATCTATCAGCATCTCTGAAACAAATACTTAGTTGATAAAGACGTCAATAAGAAAAATGTGGGCGGCAATAATACTGACTGCACTTTTATATTCACTGTTCCCGATACTGTAGTAGACATTTTGTTTTCTGTAAATAACTACGAAATATCACATGACTTAACTAACTAAACAGTTGTTAAAGCTTACTTATCGCAAAATGGTGTATACGATAAAAAAAAAGAAATCCTCGATCATCACACTACAAACGATGACAGGTAATAGTAGCTGGCAGGGTCAGCTAAGAAGTCGAATACTGTATATCATAATGAGTTCCCACTTTTGCACCAAACGGGATACCATGAGAACATCAAAATCAGAAAGGAGTGTCATAAGGACATTTCTCCACATTACTTAAATGAAGAACACACGAACTAGCTATGCAACTAAGATTTCGAACCTTCATTAGTATAACTGGTAATTCTTATGCATGATTCAAACTGCTAAAAGCTATCAAGGTCAGTTACGAACGTCTTGCTTTAGTTGCGTTCTCTGAGTTTTGTGATTCCATCGTGAAGCTTTCACAGTCTTTCTAGACACCATCACTGACTTCAATGTGGAATTAGCCATCAGAATTTCTCCAAGGGTGATTCAGTGCCTTGTCTTGACAAAGTGGTGTATGACAGGTAGTTTTATTTGGTTGTTTTGACAGTTTATTTTATTTTATCTCAACTTGAAGGCTAAAAGAAAAACCGGCAATATTGAACATACTCAGTAAAAAAAATAACAATCGAAGTATGCCCACTCGAGCACAACTCAGCAACCACTTGTAAGCTCGTGAAGTAAGGGTGATGAGACAAACTTATTGTGTCAACAGTAATGATGCTGTCTGGCTGTCTAGACACGGTGGGACTCGAATCAGGGACTTAGTGGTTGAAAATTGAGAGCCTATACCAGTAAGAAAAAGTTCGATATCAGCTTATATTAAGCTTAAAAAGTTAATAAGGATGATAACATATCGTAAATGGAAATGTCGGAATGAATGAATGCAGGAAAATGTGATTTCCAACAATTGCATGAACGCATTTTAGATGAGTAATAGAAACATAGAAGTGAGACTGGCATAAAAGACTCTTTGCAGTCACACTAAATACATCAGATTAACTAGAAAATAGGATTGCACTCTTACGGCTGAAATAGAATATGCACGCCAAAGTGCTCTGAAAATCATGTGGATCATACTTCGTTAAAAAAATATTACTGCTCGCTGAATCCAATTATTTCCTAGATACAAAGCAGTATTTCAAACAAACAAAATTAAAGTACGGAAATACCCGTAGAAAAGAAACGACATAAAAAGAGACCATTAAACATTGTATCCCAGAGAAAATTGTGGGTTCACAGTCTGCTATAAGAATGAATCCACTTCTTTATTATAGGTCAATGTTTTATGCAGTAGCGAAATACGTTTACAGCACACTGAAAGCCATTAAGATAAATTATATATATATATCTGCAATTCGGTAACCAGGTGGGACTGACGAGCAAGTCAGTTACATGTTTAGTCTATAAACAGTGTCATTGTGTTTTGTAGAGGAAAATTCTCTTATCATTAAAAAATACTATTTTCAAGATGACTGCATAATGAATACTTGTCTGTGCTTGAAAGATGAACGCAGAGAATTTAGTTTAAATTATGTACAAAAAAAGTTATGTTGATTCCAGTGTCATGGGGGTTTGAAAACAACAACAACAAGAAAAAGCGACAATAACAAAGTGTAAGCAGAAGCAGAATATGTCTGGAATTTCATCCTCCTTGTGGTAAAAGAAAATCATATACGCCATCCAATTATTTAGTGACACATAAAAAAGTATGCCTTCTCTAAACAAATATTATATATATATATATATATATATATATATATATATATATATATATATATATATATATATGCCAGTCTACTTGGTTCTGTAGAGCCGAGTATACAGACCGTATCACGCGCCAGCTTGTGGAACGCGCTGGCGAACCCTACTCAACGTGGATGATAAGAGGAGGACGGAAAGGCATTTTTAGCTCTGTGACCCAACAAGTAGTAAACTCAGAACACTTGGCTCCCTTTGATAGGTCCTTCAAAATTGTGTACCTAGTACGGCCAAGCCACTAGAAAAGGAGGTTAAGATATCTGGGCGCAGCATTAATCATTCAAGAATTCAAACCATCATTATGCGTCCAAAAGAAGTATGTACAACCCCATTCTTTGTCGTGACCATCCTAGAGGATCGATTACTCTAAACAATTCCCTCGTGGTGTAACTATATTTTATTTTGTGGTCATTTGTTAATTTCCCTCACCTTAAACACCTGTCTCCACTACGTAACCTCGCACGATCATGCAATTTACTTTGACTTTTGATTAGAAATTACTTCCGAATGTTCTATCGTTTCTACTGTATGTACACAAATGTACAGCGAAGAGGATGATTTCGTCGGAAAGAAAATGTTTTCCTTCGCTGCAATCGTCTTCTCATGTTTCCGATTGCAGATGTTTTTTACTCACTAATGTTTTTCAAGTTTTCAAGTTTTCATTCTGCGGTGACTGCAAATTGTAACAGTTGAGCTGGGATACATCTACATGAGCCTCGTATCTTTTTATCCGTCTGTTTGTTCATTTATTCTATTCATCTCATAAAAGAACATCAAGATTTCAAAACTAATTTCAAAGATACTGACTAAATTAGGTTGGAGTCAACTGATAACGCCGTCTAGAGTGGTAATAAAAAGGTGATATGTGGTAGTTATATTCAACCTTAGATTGCTCTTTTGAAATTCTTAGAGCGTTAAAGAAATTCGATGGGAGAACAGGTTTGCAGTCGATTTAATTAGTAAAAATTTCCTTGTTTCACAATGTCATTAAAAGAAGGTTAGAAGCGGTCAACCTAAAAAATGACATCAACCCATGAAGTCTCCAACTGTTGGTTAATCTGAGCTGTGTAGGGGAGTGTAAACTTCCCGTTTAGGGTTTACGTGATAACTTAAAGTGGTGGTTCGAGATTCTACTTAATATAGCTGAGAGGCTAATATATTTGCTACTCGGGTTAACAAAGCAAGGTTTGACCTCAGGAAAGAATGATAAAGTTAGCGTGTTGACTCTGATTAAATAATAAATTCATTAAGAATAAATTGTTTAGAAAGGAAGATTAGTTGACCTATGCCAAAAGCCACCTAGGAAAAAACAGTGAGTTTTGTCGATAAGCCTATACAACACAAAATCGTATTGGAATACTAATAGCAGTGGGAACATAGACTTACCAAATCTATAAAATGATGACATTTTAATACAAATGTAATAGATGGATCATTTTCCCATAGTGTTTTAAAATGCGCTTGTAGTTGATCCAACGCGGATAAATAATCTCCACTTCGAATTGTCTCTCGTAAGTGTCTTCTTCTTAATAGTATATCCACAGCTTCAGGCCAACGAAATAAATCATTCAGGACAGTATCACTTGGCTTGACACTATTGTTTGTCGACAAATTATACTGGCTGACTGCTGACTTGAATTGTTGTTGTTCCTCTTCTCCTTTTAGTTGTATCGGTGACTGATGATCTTCATCGTTTGTCTCTTCAATAATAAGACTACCATTACTACAATCATTACTATTGTGATGGTGATTACTAATACCATTGACAGCAGTAATATTGTTACTGTTACGATCAAGACAACAATTACCATTCATGGAATTTGTCATGGAATTCATTTCATGAATAAATCTATTCCTCGATGAAATGCAACCATTTGGTGTTTCAGGGGTTAGTGACTTCGAAGATAATTTACCATTAACATCACAAACATTATCCTTTTTATTATCATTAAGGTTGCTATGATCGATCACGGTAGATGAAGCCTTTTTAACCCACTCACCTAAGGCTTGAGCAGATTCAAGGAAACCATTGTGTAGTAGATAGGTTGCAACTAGACTGTAGAATTTGGAATAAACAACAAAGAATGAACAAAAGTAAAATCAAACATCAGGTTAGTTGGTTGATGAACTATCTATCTATCTATCTATCTATCTATCTATCTATCTATCTATCTATCTATCTATCTATCTATCTATCTATCTATCTATCTATCTATCTATCTATCTATCTATCTATCTATCTATCTATCTATCTATCTATCTATCTATCTATCTATCTATCTATCTATCTATCTATCTATCTATCTATCTATCTATCTATCTATCTATCTATCTATCTATCTATCTATCTATCTATCTATCTATCTATCTATCTATCTATCTATCTATCTATCTATCTATCTATCTATCTATCTATCTATCTATCTATCTATCTATCTATCTATCTATCTATCTATCTATCTATCTATCTATCTATCTATCTATCTATCTATATATATATATATATATATATATATATATATATATATATATATATATATATATATATATATATATATATATATATATATATATATATATATATATATAATATCAGACTAACCATGATTTAGTTTTAGGTAAAACTTTGGTTATATCTGACTCGATGGACTAACCTTCAGATTACTGATCGTGGTAGATGAACAGTTTACAATAACAAAACATCCAATCTCCAATTACATTTCCTTTCCACTTCAAGTAACAAATATTGGTGTCCGATTGTTGTTTTGAATAAAGAAAGGTAGCAGTTTATCATCAGTAAAGCAAGGAGTAACTATTCTAATTCAGCATTCTAATTGATAATACTCGAAAATTCATAGGATTGAGTGTCGGGTTAGAATCACAGTGGAAACATCAAAACACTGTGAAGTAAGATCGGTTGATAACTCTTAAATAAGACGAAACATTTGTCTTTGATTCCACTACCAAACAACTAACTCTGATCATATATATAATATACTGTGAACAAAATGGTGATAGAAATAAGGTTATCTATACAAAAGTCAACTAGTCGTGTAATCACATCAATTTAATTTAGGACTAAAACGCCAATAATTCAATTCAGTCTCAATAGCTATACATCGAAAAAAAATTCATCACCAGTAAACAGGAGGAAGGAAAGATGATTACGTAACTATGTAGAAATACAAAAACCACTTTCAAACAGTTAACCAGCTAATAATTTCAGTGAATTACTGTGACAAAATGGAACCATCCATCTACTTAATGCATATCTTCAATGAATTCATACTAGATTTTAAGTATTTTTTTACATATATGATCAGACTAAACTCAGTTGAATCAAGAAAATAACAAACCGAAATTCCAATGAGAACTCGTGACCAGTGATGTCGGGAGTGAAGACAGTTACTCACAGAAAACATTAAATGGTTGCCCTATATTACAAATCGACTGGAGTTGGAAATAATTAAACATTAAGTTTCAACTCAATATCAAAATGTTAATGAGCTTCGCTGTGGATCCTGGACTCGATCTCTCATCAAGTCATGGGTGCGTTCTACTCAGAAGTCGCAAACTAGGCCGAAACAACTGTCCATTGTTCCATGGAGTTCGATAGTTCTGTAACTGATGCCAATCCATGATGAAAACTTCAATTAAATAAATGAGTCCAGCAATATTTGACTAAATTAGAATACACTAGTACCACTAGTCGAAAAAATATGCACGTTTTATCATCTATTCACGCATACCACCTAGTTTTCTATAAATAAAACACGCAACAAGAAGGAAACTAAAGATTTCAACGACAAATGAAAAAAAATACTCATCTTACTGAGAAAAATCCCAATCATATCGATGAAAATCACACTGTAACCTACGGTAGAATGCTATTACACGAACTCACAAGATGGTTTCACTTCTCGATTTCTTTATCGTTCTTATACACAGTATTATGTTCACTCCTATTGCATGAGAGTTGATGATATACTATCTCTGTTTTACTAACCTTAGCAGATAGTGAGGAGTACACACCCTAGATGCACCAACAAAAATATACTCCTGATTAACACGAGTATTTGAAAACAACTCACATCCATCTGATAATGTCACTAGCCAGATATAACAGTGGTCAAAACATAAAACAGCCAAATCATTAGTCTGAATTTTAGTCCATCATTGGTATTCTCGATGCTAAACACACAAGAGTGACATCAATACAAATCTGATCTGGATAGTGAACGCTGTAGATAAGTGTGAGTAATTTCCAACTAGGCATCTTTTCCAGTTGTCTATCTAGTTACATCATGATACTTTCGTGTCTGAGATCATATTTTTCAGTCTCACCTGGATGATTTCAGTAAGAATACTGTTGATACGACACAGTAGAGCAGATAAGCATCCACAGTTATGAACAATGTCCACATGACCCAAGCAATTTGTAAATAAAATCAAACTGATCATGTGAGACATACTCGTTGACAGTCAAGTGTCTGCTCAAATGGACCACAGTTTTATCAGCATAATTCAAGTAGGATAATCAATTTGCACAATAATAAAAAATTCCAAGGTCCACTTAGGCATTTCTCACAGCTGATCAGTCTTTCAACTGCCCAACTATGTTATCAACAGGCTTCTTGTTGGAAACCACCCAGTTAAGATCAAAAGGTGTCATCTCAGAGAGAAAAGTGTCACGAACTAACGAAATGTACTACTGAGCAACATGAATAGTTAGAAATTACTCATGATCTATAGATTCCGCCAACTAAATCAGTGATCCACATACTGGCGAACAGCTTGGCTCCGAACTACCGAAACGGTCGTTCATGTTTAGATCACTCTGACCAAACTAGAGAAATCTAAGGTTAAGCGTTAGTGGTTTCTAACTACTCTTGTTTTTTAGTAGAATGTTCTAATAATTCAAGTAGAACCTATTAAGGTATATATTTATAACATTACAGTTATAGTTCCATATAACAGCACGAGACAGATAACTCTTTCTTATATTAGAAGTTTGTGTATCTGCAATCTCTAAAAACCTGATTTCAGCTTCAGGAATCTGAATGCCTATCATGCAATGCTGTAGGTAGCCACCTTAACGCTGAGCTATACGGGCTACGAAGAATGGCCTGTAGAATTAGACTAGGTACACTGACTGATCGCTATAGATCAACCAATATTATATTTTCCAGTCCAAATTTCCCAATTGAATATTGTCGGCCAAGATAGCTGATTGGTTTTGAACCAGTTAATATTAATCAAAGTGCATCAAGATGTTGAGTTTTCTAGCTTGGTAACCATATTGTAATTTACGAACCATAAGCGAGCATTCTCAAAGTTATAAATCAATACTTCAATGGAGATAGACAAAAAAACCAATAATCACACAAACACGCTTGCATAAAACAGCTTTCGATGATGATAATATATATCAGGTGACCAGACATTGCTCTGAAAAAAAATGAAAACTGTAACAGAACTTCAATGCAGACAATCTGTTCCCATTGCATACAGAAAAAAAGTTGCTCTGAAACACAGCTCACAAAAGGTTTTGTTAAGAGAACAGAACATATATTGGAAAGCATAGTCACAAACCGTTAACGTTCTTATATGCTGGGGAAGTTGGGTAAGGTTGCAAGAAGATTCAAGATGACCTGCCCAAGTCGACTGAAGTGATTTAGATATGTGTTGGGCATCCCAAGCCACCACCCACCTCTACATAGCGTGCTGATGAAGTTAAGTAAGGAAGGAAGAGGGTCCAGGGTTGCCAAAGACTCAGAGTAGTGGGCGCTGCTGATAAGAATGGATATAAGTAGCATGTGTTGAGAGGGCAGCAGAAATCATTACCAGTAATGGGTAAGGATTCTGCCAAGAGCAACGCAAGAGACAACGACGGCGTATGAAGGGCAAATCAAGAGAGAAGCAGAAAAGGAAATGAAGCACATTTTGCAAATGATTGTCTTAGTGCAAGGTGTACCATATTAACGACTACTGTACCATATGCTAATAATAAACATTTCTTCCTTCGTCTCTGCTTTCTCATTTCCTTCAACTGGTGTCGCTGCTTCTGAACGTGATGAAAATTCCGTGACCTGCAGAGTTCAAGGATGGAAACGTCAAGGTCTCCCTTAGGGACTTCGAGTTGGTCGCGGAGATGGTGGGTGCCGGCATCTGCGAGCGAAGGTTGCGGTGCTTGGCACGTTGCTGCGGGGTAGAGCGAAAGCAGCGTATGACGGCGTGAAACGTAGAGAGTAGAAGACTTGGAAGAGAATGGTTGAACGACTGGAGGCGGAGTTTGACAGCCCAGCGGACAGGGAGCTGGCGATGCAACAGTTCCGGTGCACGAAACTTGAAATTGACGAAGATCCGCTGTTATTGGCTGTGAAGTTGACTAAACTACTTCGACGAGCACTTCATACTTTGGATAAAGACTCCCAGGAGCAATTGCTGGCTGCACAGTTCACCAAAAGTGTCCCAGTTGCCATCACCCAGCAGCTACGACTAGTCAACGCAGCCCAACCAAGGATATTAGTGGGATGGCCAAGGTCACCAGACAGCTAATGGGCACGGCAGTAGCTGCGGTGAAGTCACCAGAAGTAAATAACTGGAAAAAACAAATCGACAACCTCCAGGAGGAGGTGGCTGCAATTCGAATGAATATCAACAGACAGGGTAAATGCTTTGCATGCGAAAAACTGGGACACTGGCGAAGAAACTGTCTGGAGAGGAGAAAAAGAAAACGTTTTGAACGATGTAATAGGAGTTCTGTTTTCTGACCAGACTAGATGTGTAGGAGCTGTAGATAGAGGTGCTGTGTATGTTATAATGCGAATAAATGATAGGGAGATCGTGCGTCTAATAGATACGGGGACGGCAGTTTCGCTGATAGATAAGAGTAAGTCTCAGAAAATAAAAACATGTGCAATAACGGTCCACATGGTTGGTGGACATGTATTACAAATCGTGGGATTATCAGATTGTGTCGAAGAGATCGGAAAATTAGATTTTCATTCATTGTGAGCACGCATCTACAACGGACAATCCTTGGTGCTGATCTTT